AACGGGGGGGGGCAAAAAAAAGCCAAGAAGCGCGGTGCTGCGCAGATGTAGGAGGGCGACCGCACTTCCTGCGCCCCGGGAGAGGTGTTTCCTGTTCCCCAGACCATGACAAACCGAATCCTCTGTCTGCTTACAGCGCTGAGCTTGAAGAAAAGAAAAGGGGAAATAAAAAATAAACCACATCATTAAATTCTTGCCCTTCTCCTAGTTGGACAATGTAAAAAAAACGCAGCTGGGTGCGGGGACTCTGCTGCATTTCACCTTTCTGCGTGGCTCTCTGCAGTCCCTCACCCTCCTTGGTCCCTGGGTCACGGGTAGAGGAGACCTGGCAGCAGGTCTGGATCTCCAATAAGTCCTCCCGACATCACGTCAACCATTTTAGCTCTTTTTTCAAAGCAATTTCTTTCCAGTTTCAAAACGATGCCCATCTTCTCCATAGGGACCTCTTCCCCTGCTCCTCCCTGGTGTTCTTACGCCGTCAGCTGGAACCCAGAGCGGTGCTGAGGTCGGGGCCGTGGTCTGAGGCCCCTGCCTTGCGGGCTGCGTGTGGGGGACAGCCCCATCGGTCTGCTCGCCCTCAGGCACTTGACTTCTGCTGAGTTTTCTCACTCCGCAGACAAACAAGCCAAAAAACATCTCATACTTGCAGTTAAAAGGAAAAACATCCCAGTAGTGGTCAAGCTCTAACCCAAAGCCAACTTCCTGAGCCCGCCTGCATCAGCCGTCACGAGCGGTGGTACCTCTGGGATAAGGGTCCTGCATCTCCAGGCTGGAAAGAGACGTGGTCTTGGGCTCTCCATGGTGGGTCGGTGGGGTGGGGATGGCTCTCACCTCTCCCCGTCTCTGAGCTCCCTGTCCCCACAGGTGGAGTACCTGCTGAAGAAGATCTGCACGGCCATGAACGTGGAGCTGAACTCCTGCGAGCTGGATGACTACCTCTCCCAGGAGGCGCAGGGGCAGGCGGGGCTGACGGTCTGGCAGTTCTTGGACATGGTGAACTCGGGGCGGTTCCTGCGAGGCATCGAGCAGGAGGCCGTCAGCATGGCCGTGGAGGAGGTGTATCAGGAGATCATCGAGGATGTGCTCAAACAGGCAAGGAGCCCACACATCCCAGGGCACAAACCCCATCCTGCCTCCCCACCCCGTTTTTGATCCCCGTGTCTCTCGGGCGCAGGGCTACCTCTGGAAGAAGGGCCAGCTGAGGAGGAACTGGTCGGAGCGGTGGTTCACGCTGAAGCCCAGCGTCCTGTCCTACTACATGAGTGAGGAACGTAAGGAGAAGAAGGGGAGCATTGCATTGGACAAGCACTGCTGCGTGGAGGTACGGCCCGGGGCATGCTCAGCTCGGGGACAGGAGATGCAGGAGACCCCCTTCAGACCCCGGGAAGGGGAACCCAAGAATACTCAGTTTCACATCCGTGAGCGTGGGAGAGCCCGTCCCGCGACCGAAGAAAGCGGGGATGAGGCGGGGTACGGGGGGGTGATGCCATCCTGTGTCCTCTCCCTGCAGGTGCTGCCCGACCGGGATGGGAAGAGGTGCATGTTCTGCGTGAAGACCCCCTCCCGCACCTACGAGATGAGTGCCTCCGACACCCGGCAGCGCCAGGAGTGGACCCTCGGTCCGTGCCCACCCTGCGCCTCGTCCCCAACTTCCCCATGCCCCCCGCCATGTCCCCACTGATGTCCCCTTCCCTCCCCAGCCATCCAGACGGCCATCCGGCTGCAGGCTGAGGGCAAGAAGTCCCTGCACAAAGACCTGAAGCAGAAGCGACGGGAGCAGCGGGAGCAACGGGAGCAGCGCAAGGCGGCCAAGGAGGAGGAGACGCAGCGGCTCAAGCAGCTCCAGGAGGAGAAGGAGAAGAAGCTGCAGGAGCTGGAGCTGCTCAAGGAGGCCCAGCGGCAGGCAGAGATACTCTTGCAGGAGGAGGAGCAGCGGCGGAGGCAGCAGCACGAGGAGATGCAGAGGACCCTGAAGATCCAGCTGCAGGAGGCCGAGCAGGTGGGAGCGTCCTCATGGCGTGTCCTGCCACGGGGCTGCGTCGCTCGCGGAGCGGGGTGCTTCCTTCCCTCTCCCTTGCCTGCGGCAGCCCAGGGGGTTTGGAGGAGCTTTTAGGAGCACGTCCTGCTCTTGCAACCGTGCTGCTGCCACGCGTCACCTCTGGGCTCCGGCGGCTGTGTGACCCGGGGATGAGGGATGGAGCCGCGTGGGAGATGAGGACAACCTGCCCTGGGGTGGGTGAAGCTGGGGGCAGGTGAGCGGCGAGTGCTAGTGTCGGGACGGCCGGGGAGCCCGTTTCTGGCCGTGCAGCCGCGGTGTGTCTCCTGAGCAGGGCAACAGCCTTGCTTTGGGGCCCTCTCCATGGGCTCTCCTGGTGTGGGGGACGCCTGGCCCCATCCACCCAGGGATGCAGCATAAGGGGGTCCTGGGGACGGCGGCGTGGCCAGCCCCCCCCGCGCTGCCGCCCCCCCCCCCCGCCGCAGGCTCGCGCCTCCATGCAGGCAGAGATGGAGCTGAAGGAGGCGGAGGCAGAGCGCCAGCGCAAGCGCATCCTGGAGCTGGAGGACATGCAGGAGCGTCTCCAGGAGGCCCTGCAGCAGGAGGTGAAAGCACGGCAGGATGAGGAGTCTGTGAGATACGCGCAGGCCAGGTAGGACCACGGCATCCCTGCTCCTCCTCAGCCAGCCCCACTCCCAGGGCAGCGTCTGGGCGTGGGGACACGCTCCCCTCGGGGTACTGGGCTGTGCTGGGGGCTTCCCAGTATGCCAGCAGGGATGGGGGAAGCCGGTGGATGAAGTGGCAGGCGGATGTCCTCACCTCTTGCTCTTTGTTGACAGGCTACTGGCTGAGGAGGAGGAGAAGCTGAAGCAGCTGATGAAGCTGCAGAAGGAGCAAGAGGAATATATCATCAAAACTCAGCGGGAGAAGCAAGTCCTCAAGCAGGAGATGGAGAACAAGAACAAGTGCCTGGAAGAGGCACAGAAGCAGCTGGAAGAAGTGAGAGTGAACAGGCAGCGGGTGGACCAGGACGTCATGGTGAGCATCCCATCGGTGCCACATCCCTCCACGCCGCGAACCCCGGGGGACTTCCCAGCCCTCCCTGAGTCACCCCCACACTGGGGAGGACCCAGCAGCGCTGGGGACCAAGCTGGCATTGCCTCGAGGGTTTCTGAGCTCTGCCACGCGCAGGCACAGGATGGTTCAGTGGCTGAGATGGGACAAGCGTGTCCTGCCCTGGGGTGACAGCGCTGGTGTCCACAGTGGGAGTGTGGGGGAGGGGAGGATTGGAGCAGAAGACCCAGAGGAGGGTGAGCTGGGTCTCCATCCCAGAGGGAGCCTCCAGTCCAGGCCTACTCAGGGAAGGGAAACTCCTGCCCGTAGTCCCGGGTCGGGGCTCACCCCGCTCCTCCATCCCCTCCCAGGCGGCCCAGCGGAAGCTGCGACAGGCCAGCACCAACGTCAAGCACTGGAACGTCCAGATGAACCGACTGATGCACCCCATCGCGCCGGGAGGTAGGAGACCGGCCATCACGCCCTCCCCTGCCGCGCTGGGGCACGAGCCCAGCCTCCCACCCATCCTCCCCTCTTTGGGGTCATCTGGGGGCTGGAAGGATCCCCATCTTCCAGAGAAGATACCCCAACACCTCGGGCAAGGAGAAGACCCCGCACCCCTTTTCTTTAGCTGAAAGGTCAGCTTGGACCCCAGGTAAGCGATCCTCTTTTTCTGTCCATCCCCAGACAAGCGTACGAATGTGAGCGGAGGAGGCTTCGCTGGCTACCAACCCCTCCTCTCCCGGAGAGATTCCTCCCTCAAACTCAAGCAGAAAGTGCAGGATAAAAGCAGTGACAGCACAAGGGACGACAGCAAGGAAAACGTGAGCAACGGCGGGAACAGCGGCGCGACGCTGTCTCCGGACGCGGACACCATGGCCATGGAGCCCACCAACTAGCCCGGCAGGATGGCAGAGCCCT